CCACCGCGACATCCGGAAACCATGTACGTCCCAGACTCACACAAACACAAACACAAACATACTAATAAATGACACCGGATATTTTCTGCATGAAACTATTTGAGTTACCGACAGCTGTACTGTAACTGTGCTCTTCAGGGACCAGCAGGACGATGTATACGATGACGTTGATGAACGGAGCAGCGCTCCTCCGCCCCCTCCACCACCATCTTCAGGTTCAGTAACAGTCACTACTTCATAAAATGTGATGCGCTAAATGTAACTAACATGGTGAAAGATGCTTTTTGGTCTGGCACCACAAGAACACATAAAAGGACTGTGTGATGCTAGACCTTGCGCCATATTTCCATATTAGAAGACACATAAAAAGACAATATATATCCTGCCAGTATAGCCTGTGTTACTGTTAAGCTTGGTTGGTTACTTGCATATGACATCTAGCACACATATTTATATATATAAAACATCTCATCTAAAACTCTAGATGAGATGTTTCACACTTACACTAATGGCAGCTATTCAAAAAATAATTAAAATCTCTTGTAATGTTGCTTTATTGTTTCTGTTCTGCAGGTCACCCGAGTATGAGGGCAAAGGTGAGATATGTCGAATTACATGCTGCATAAATACAGATTTGCATGAAGGCACATGTGCAGATGCAGAAGAATGCTCAGATAAGTACAGAAGCAGCTGCGGTGAAATACAGACACAGCACAGAGCGAAACCACACAGCAGCAGAACAGCGACTGAAAGGGTTAACACATTTAATGATTAATTAAAATGTGTGCCTCATGCAAATGGGAAAGGAAAGTATATATTTAAGATACATCAGAACACAGTAAGAGAGATGTTTGAATCTAAAGTAGGACGAGTGTTACTGTCTGTGCATTACATCTTCTGCAAAGGAACAGCAGTGGTTCATGCAGAGGATGCAAAATATCGTCAGGATACAAAGAACAAAGATGGAAATTTATGTGTAAAATTACAAACACAATGTATGTTTAACTAAATATGTCTTTACATGAGTCTAAACATAAAGTGCATGTATGTCAGCTGCTGCTACTGTTGGTTTGTGTTTTCTCTCAGGAGGAAAATGATGAAGACGACGATGATGGAGAGATGTATGAGGACCTTGATGAACGATGGTGAGAGAATGTTACTCATTAAAACCTTTGCCTGTTTATTTACAGTTCACTAATGCTGTCTGGTCTTCAGATCCAGTTCAGACGTACATACGAAGTCATTTGTTGGTCTATGATAAGAAAATGTGTTTTTCCAGTAAATAAGCCTGCTGAGGGACTTAACATAACACAAGATCCAATGTTGAAAAAGCTCAAAACAAATCTCTAGAATCCACTCTTAACGGATTATTTTAATTTGTAAAAATGCTCAGCAATGCATCACTGAAGTATTAGCTCCAGCCCGGCACACCTGTGTGTCCATGTCTCACGCTCGTAACAGCACCCTCTGGTGGTTCTTTTGCAACACTGCAAGAAGACGTCCATCTCACTTAGGCATGCCTTTAATGATTAAAATAAACAAGCAGACAAACTTCTATTCTATGTGCCATTGATTAAAAAGAAAAAACAACAAAAAATAAATACATTTGGGCATTTTTATGTGTGTACTGCATCAGCATTCATAGGCTTTATTTATTTGGGTGCCCATTTTTGGCACTAAAATAACTGCTGGATCAAAACTGTTTCAAACACTCTATTTTTGTAAGTGTGCAGGAGCTCAAAGTCTTTTGATAGGCTTGCCCTGCTAATGTACACCTGTCCCATGAAGTAGATGTGCAAAGAGTTCTTTTGTCTTTAGCCAAATAAATGCTGACATTTTCAAAATACATTTTGTATTTATAAAACTGCCCAAGCACACTGAATCTGTACCCGTTTATCCAGCAACCACCTCCAATATGTTATTTACAATAATTTTTTAAATAATTACACATCAACTGCTGACTCCTTCATGCTCTTGGTTCTCAAAAGGGAAGCGGCTGAACAAAAACAAGACAAGAAGAAGGAGAAAGAGGAGAAGGAGGAGAAGAAAAGACTGGAGACGGAGAAGAAGGAGCAGAAGGAACGTGAGAAGAAAGAGCAAGACGCTCGAAAGAAATTCAAAGTGAGTGGATTCCTCAGTTTAACCTGCTAGAACACGTAAAGGGAATAAATATTGGGGGGAAAATGTGCCTATTTTTCAACGTATAAGAGAGAACTGATACAGTTATCATGCCTCTATGATAAATACAAAGAGCTGGGGGATTATTAGATTATCCTAACATAAAAGTTGGAAACCGGGACAATTAGCCTGCCTTTGTCCAGTTAGCAGCACTTCAAAACTTCAATAACTAACAAGTTATATCTCATTTGCTTAATCTATACAAAACCTGAGCTGTACAAACTCTCATGTTTGTGCACTAAACATGATTTTAGTTTGTTTAGCTTTGCAAAATCTAGAAACACAACTTACATATATGTTGCATAGGTTACCAGACATACAGATCTGCCAAATGAATTCACATAAATCACATCCATTTTCTAGAAAAGAGTGACAAGTATCTAGTTCTAATAAAACATCATAAGTAAATGAAGTCATGTACTGTTTTCATGTATATTCACATGTTTGTTTATGACTGTGTGTGTTAGTTGTCTGGACCGATAGAAGTCATTCACCAGGGAAAGGCCCGTGTTGACTGCAGAGGCGGCAAGACTGACCTGGCTCTGAAGCAGGGAGACAGTCTGGACATCATCCGTGTGCAGGGCAACCCAGAGGGGAAATGGTTGGGACGGTCGCAGGACGGATCAAGTGCGTTCCCATCACATCCTTCATTCACCTGAGCTCAGTATCATCTGGAAATACAACATAAAACTATAAATTTCTCTCTCTCTGCTTAGTTTTCCTTCTTTAGTCGACACTTTATTGACCGAGCTGCACTCAGTTATAAACAATTAGACAACACTGGAACAATAAATCACCAATATTTTGTCTGGTTCCCACAGTTGGCTATGTGAAGACCACTTCAGTGGAAATCGACTTTAACACGCTGAAGAAGCGTCAGGTTCAACAGGCGTATGATCCTGAGGTCTACGATGACATCGATGTGGTCTCTGATAACAGGTACAGTGAATGTCAGTGCATATGTACAAACTCCATGGCAGCTATTTGCACAGACAAGCTGCATTTTTTTGTAACAATGCAGACAAGTGAAACAGGAAGTGACACTCGAAATATCTGATACGACTCCACAACAGCTAAACATGTTACTCAACACAGATATGCAGACAATATGTGCCAATATTTACCCTTTTCTATGAGTCTCACAGATACTTATTGTTGTAATTTAGGACCAAAACGCTGCAACATGGTGGGGTTTTATTTCAGGTTTGATTAAATACATTCAAGAAAGACTGGAACTTTTGGGAAGTCAAATTACAGAATTAACTGAAGTTCAATTTAACTAAAAGCAGGATTCAAAGCTAAGTTTTACAGTGCAGCCACTTGAGTGTTCTTTGAAAATGTTTCCATCTTTTTCCTACGATGTCAGTCAATCAGTAGGGCGCAAAACTCTAATGGTCATTAATGTGCAGTGATATCGTCGGTGGAGAAATAGTTAAACCTTTGAACTTGGCTGTTTCATGGAGCACTTCTCCAATTTATTGTGAGAAATGAAAGTTTTAAAAAAAATGCATGTCTGTCACATCTCAAATTCTTGTGTCTCTCTCTACAGTGGTATCAAAGGACCAGGAGGTAAAATATAGTTCATCTTATTATACTGAGTCACATTATTTGCATTCAATTAATGCCAGATTGTTTCTTTAACATAAAACATGTCTGTTGTCTTACAGTCGTCCTGCCCCCGCTGCCGGGAGAGGGAGGAGAAATATACGATGACGTTGTCGATCTGAACCTGGAAGTCAGGTGGGAAGTGACTCGGTTATTTATAAGAAAATGGAAAATTACAGAAAAAATAACTATTTTCTAAACAACAAACACTGAAGACAACTGCTAAATGGAGAAACACACTCAGGAGGAATTAAAAGAATCAAAGATGAAGCAGAAAAAGAAATGCAGGTCTTTTCATCCTTGGTTTTTAGCTCCCCAGAGCCCAGGTCCTCTCCTACAAAGCCCCTTGGCTTCCTGCGGATGTTTGACCGAAACAGACGTCTTGCCAGCACTAAAGTGTAAAATACACTCAGTAGTAAGACTGATCGCAGATCTTCTGTCCCCTGTAATTAATCTCTAATCTCTCAGCAGTCACTTTCCTTTTTAACAGCTGTACAGTTCCTTCCCAGATGACGTTTCCTTTGAATGTTGATTTTCTCCCCGAGATCGGCGTCAAATCAACCTCTGTCTGAATAACAGTGACAGATCCTAATTCAGAGTTGAATTCCTGCAGCCTGAGAGGCTGAAATCTAACAGTGACGTTTACATGTGCATGCCTGATTATTGATTATTTGTGATTTTACTAATCTTCACCAGTAATTTGCATGTGTGTGATTAAAGTATGACTTAACCAGAAAATCAAGGTAATAACTGCTGTCAGTTCAAATGTCATTATAATCTGATATGGTAATTTGAGCTGCACTGAATCATATGATCATACTTTTTATTGATGACATTACATGAATACAAATCATGTAACCTTTAAATCTTTTTTTTTTCTTCTGTTGTGCCAGAGTGCCTCCACCCAGCCAGTTTACTTCAGACGGGAACTCAGGTATCACTCGCTGTGAAATTACCATTTTTTAAATAAACATTTGAAGAAAAATAACTCTTCTATGATTAAAGACATTAACTTTTGGAAAAGAAAAAAAAATTCAATTCATTCAAAAGAAAATTAACGTGTTAATGTAAAGAAATTAATCTGTGGAATTAGCGCATTAATGCACAAACAACAAAGTTATTACTCATGCCAAATTAAAAATTCTAATCTGGGGGGTCACGAACACAAACTTATGTTATCTTGGGGCTCAAAAAGTTTGAGAACCACTGGTCCAGCACCATAACAAGTTAAAAGAAGGTCTTTAAACCTGCAGTGCTCAACCTTTGTCTCCCCCTTCTGGCAGTGAGATGAACTACACAAACACTATCATGCTTTTGATGGTCAGTTGCCTTCTGCTTTAGACCGTAATCTTGCCCCTGAGCGCTGAGATTCTTTTTTATCTTTAGCATCAGAAATTCTTTTTGCATTTCACTCATCCGGTCAAGATGCTCCACATCTTTACAGTCACAGCTGAAAACAGATTTTTGTTGTCTGATTAAAACGCCTCCTCGCTGACTTTTTCCTTGTCTTCGTACAGATCAGCAGGGAGCAGCAATCGATGAGGAGATATACGATGATGTTGACTCTCAAAATGTGCCACCCCCTCCTCCCATAAGCAGGTACAACTACATCTGTGTTAAAACCAGTTATTAAATATCATGAATCAAACGTTCAGATTGATGATTTCAAAAGTGTTAATCGAGTTCCTTTTACTTTCTTTTTTTTTTTTTTTTGGTCAAGCCTTCCGGTCATTAGAGGCAAAAGCAGGTCTGAAGATATGGACCCAAAGAAGCAGAAAAAGTTTGAGAAAGAGGAGAAGGAATTCAGGAAAAAGTTTAAGGTTTGTAACACTAACATATTTTATCCACCCCTGTTACTTCAGTCCTCTAACCATCCTCATCAGCCTTATATGATTATATTTCATTTTCACCCATTTTCAGTATGAAGGGGAGGTACAGGTGCTGTACCAGGTGACCATCACTAACACACTTAACAATAAGAAGTGGAGCGCCAAAGAGCTGCCGCTGAAAGCAGGCGAGAGACTCGACGTCATTGTGAAAGCTGTGGACAACAAACTGATATGTCGAAACGACGACGGCAAGTGTGAGTATCTCTACATGAACACATCAGATCCTCCTGCACCTCATCGTGTTTTACTAACCTTTTTTATTCTTGCATCTGTGTCTCAACTCTAAACTCTGTATTTTACAGTTGGTTATGTTTCGACCTCCCACATCGCTACAGAGTACGTATCACAATTATTTTTAAAAAATCACACATACATACACAATAAAAGAGATAAATTAAACAATATGTGGTTTGTTCCCTCTATAAATACAGCGATGGAGATATCTATGATGACATTGGAGATGGTATGTTCAGTTCATTGCTGTTCTACAATAATATATTTCTGCACAGTTCACCAAAAATCACCTTTGAGGGAAAGAAAATCTCTTCTTAATCAGTGTTATATTTTCTTTTCAGACTGCATCTATGACAACGATTAAGAGACATCCTGCACTGGCCCGATTGTTTTACACCAATTTTGCTCATTTTTGTTATTTATTATGATTGTTGATACCCACTGGGAGTTGCTATAAGTTAGCTGGATAGTCAGACTGATTTGCCATAAGAGTTGTAATCGGCAATTCAAACATCTGGAGTCAGGCTGGCTTAAAGTCCTCTGAACAATGCAATGTTTTTTTTAAGTTGCTCCAAAACAAACTGCTAAACAAACTATGTAAAGTTGTGATATTACTTGAAGGACCTTGAAGCGGGAAACATTTGTTGGAACAACAGTATTTGAATATTTCTGTTTATCTTCTCATTCTCATTGAAAACCTCCACAGCACTGTATTTATATGTAGACTTCTACAGTTTAGCAACATTATTAGAACAGCTACAGTACATGCTAAAGCTACGATATAATTTTTTTTCAATTTACCGCCTAACTGAAGTCAACAGTAATGCTACCTGTAATGAATTTATGTGCCTCTATGCAAGTCAACATGCAGAAAAAACAACTGTTTTAGGTAGAAATGGCTTCTTAATACTGTACATAAAATTATGAAATACATGTAAATTGTGTTAGATTTTTCATAGCTTGTCCTGTTGTTAAGGTAAGAGTGTGTCTGCTATAAAGAGAATAAAGAGAATGCTTCTGTTCCATAAAGACACTCTTTCGCTATCTCACTGTTGTATGATGCCTGTAAACTTGAGTGACCTGACTGCAGGTGGATGAATTATGAGTGACTAAATGAATGACGAATGAAAAGTTGTGAAGAAATACCATGATTCAGTTCCTCATGAGAACAGAACACATCTAGTGAGCAAAATTTACACTGAGATCTGAATTTTAATCTTCAATCGAAAGTTTGGGGTTGCAAGGTGGAGCGGTGGTTAGCACCGTCGCCTCGCAACAAGAAGGTCGTCGGTTCATGTCCCGGTGAGGACACCCGGGATCTTTCTGAGTGGAGTCTCCATGTTCTCCCTGTGCAGCGTGGGTTCTCTCCAGGTTCTCCAGCTTCCTCCCACAAGGTCTAAAAACATGTTGAGATTAATTGGTGATTCTAAATTGTCCGTAGGTGTGAATGTGAGTGTGCTTGGCTGTCTGTCTCTAAGTGTAGCCCTGTGATAGACTGGTGACCTGTCCAGGGTGTCCCCTGCCTTCGCCCTGAGTCAGCTGGGACTCCAGCCCTCTGTGACCCCAGTTAGGATTAAGCGGTGGATAGATAATGGATGGAATCTAAAGTTTGCTACATGCAATTGATATAGCACGACAGAGATATTAACGAATACCACAGTAAAAACAGTGTTTAGTATACTTACCCATCCGAAATAATTTCACAGACTTGTATCCCTATTTTCACCGAATTAATTCAGGCAGGTGACGTGATGCTCCCTAGTATGGAAGCACAAATATGAACTAAATCAGTGACATAATGACAAATTAATTAATTCAGGGGTGTCAATAAGCCGGGAAATGTCTAAATAAATCAAAGGCCATGAACTGGACAGGGGGCGCTACATTATATATCTGAATATTTGTTAAGTTTGAGCAGTTTGCAAAGGGGTCAGAAGCAGCAGTCCTCCTGTCTCCCTTTAATAAAACTATACAAAAATGTAGAAAGCTAACTGTATTTGGTATTGAGAACATTTAAATTACATGAGGACACTTTAAGTCAATGTAGTATATATTGATGCAACCAGAGAACAAAAATAGATTAACAGGTAACACAAAAAAAGTTGATAGAGTTGATATGTAAAACAGAAATTTGTCAATAATTCTAATATAAAAGTGAACGAATTCAACAGGGCAATGACATAATTTACATAAGAGCCACAGATGTAAAAGCCTACTGTAAATACCTAAAGAGACAAAAAGTCTCCTTAAAAACAGGTCAAAATGTTTGGAGAGGAGGCTCACTTTCTGCTCCCCCATCTGTGTGGTTCAGTGACTTCTCCTTGAATTTAAAAATGCCTGATTATATTAGAACAGATTAACTCTCTATTAGGAATTGTATTAATAGAATAATTATGT